ATATATATATATATATATATATATATATATATATATATATATATATATATATATATATAGAACATATTTAGAATATATATATAGAGAGAATATATATAATCAAAAAGTCATTTTCCGTACGCTGTGCATAGCGTTTCGTGTTTACTTGAACCCGGCACTCACATATGTTGCTATATATACATGCAGAAGCAAATTGAAGCTAACTTTATTTCCCCTGTATAGAGGAGTTAACCTGAACTTAATACTGGATGGCTCATTGCTTTAGCGGTCCAGTGAGGACGGTCGTTTATTGCTCCAGTATTACTACAGTAGGGAAACTTCAAATGACTATTTATGCTAGATATATTATAGCTCTATCATTTCTGCTGTTTCCATACAGAGTTAGGCCCATCCTTTATTGGTTCATGAGTCTTAAAATAGAACATCTACACTAATAGGTTTTGACTAAATCCATCTGACTGGTTCATTTTTTGTCACGTGATCGCTTTTATAGTCTTAGTACAGAAGCTGATGTCATCTCCCTGTATTTTGACAGTACCGGACATTGATCTTTTAAAAGCCTCGAGAATCTCGGTCAGTGAAAGCTTTATGCACGCGCTAAGCGCGGTCATAGCAAAAAAACTCGTTCCGTTTCGGTTGTGATATCCACCCTCCGTTATTAACTTAGAGTTTGCTTCAAGAAAATATATTTTAATTTGCTGGGTAACAGCAACAAGCCCTATAAGAAACTCTGGGTCCTAAAATTTGAAATTCACTCAAATTTTATATTTGAGTGCGTGCATGTCTACTGGTATCGTACATGCTTTATGATAAACAATATATTTTCTTAGCTTTATTTAAAAACAAGTTGGACATCACGTTAGACTGGTTTAAAAATTATTGATGTACTTACTGCACAAAGCGTTGTAATTACAAGAGTATGAAGTTTTTTAGCGGACAAAATATCTGAAATGTATCAATCGAGTTTATGCGCTATAAATTGATGTTATGTGCTATACATTGATGTTATGTGCAAATACATCGATGTCATAAACCGATACAACTAAAAGATAAACCGATACAACTAAAAGATAAACCGATACAACTAAAAGATAAACCGATACAAATAAAAGATGAGGAAACGGAAGCAAATACCAATAAAAGATGAGGAAGCGGAAATAAATCGAAAAAACGGAAGTTGAGCGACGCGGCGACGTACAACAATGGCGTCTCTTGGACCACGCATTTGGCTTCCTAATACAGAAAACTCTTTTCGTTAATTGGTTGATTTAATAAGAAATGCTGATTTTTATGCAAGGATTTTATTGTCGTAGATATGAAGAGTATAAACGCAACATTGAGTCGGTTTTAACAACAAGAATCACCGAATCATAAACAACGGAGCAGTTTTTAATCAACAATCTACATATCTATGTACTTATTTAAATAGTTTACGAAATGAATTGGACGTTATTGTTGAAAATTATGAACGGACCTCACAGCGCTTTTCACTAGAAGAGTCTTACGATCGTGCGGTTTGTGTAAGAGAGACAGGGCAGAATACCAAATGTTCAGGATTTTGTTCAGTTTATCTTAAGCGCGGTGACGAAAAGATTTTGTTCAGTCTATCTTAAGCGCGGTGACTTAACGCGGTGACGGCATGACATATACAAGTGGTTTTTTATACTTTATTCTCAGGCTTATCAAATACAACATTATTTTCACAAGCATAAATTGTGCCAACAACACGAGGCCATCACACCATCATATTTCACACTTGGCATATTGTGGCATTGACTTCTGTGGTTAACTGCTCTTCTGTGACTTGTATTCTTGGCCTACCAACAAGCCCGTTTCTTTCCGCCGTACAAACCGTTTGCACGATCGTAAGACTCTTCTAGTGAAAAGCGCTCTGAGGTCCGTTCATAATTTTCAACAATAACGTCGAATTCATTTCGTAAACTATTTAAATAAGTACATATATAGTTTATGTAGATTGTTGATTAAAAACTGCTCCGTTGTGTATTAAGATTCGGTGATTCTTGTTGTTAAAACACTCAATGTGCGTTCATACTCTTCTAATCTACGACAATTAAAGTCTGGCGAGTCACAATGAGTGCGACTTTGTTCAGCATTTCTTATTAAATCAACCAATTCACGAAAAGAGTTTTCTGTATTAGGAAGCCAAATGCGTGGTCCAAGAGACGCCATTGTTGTATGTCGCGGCCGCGTCGCTCAACTTCCGTTTTTCCGATTTACTTCCGCTTCCTCATCTTTTATTGGTATTTGCTTCCGTTTCCTCATCTTTTATTGGTATTTATTTCCGTATAAACTCGATTGATACATTTAAGATATTTTGTCGGCTAAAAAACTTCATACAAGAGTCAAAGCTAGAACTGATGCCAACACCCTCATTTTTATTTGCGCCGCTGTTGTAAAAATTTACTCACTCTTGCTTGGATTGAACCTGAATGATGAAATATTCGCAAGGAAAGTGCACTTTTATAGACAAAATGAAGTGTTCTGATTTATCTCAACTAGATGTCTGTTCCGAACTTTAGTATAGAAGGAATTTTTTGTGTAAACATGTGCACTTATCACTTATGTCAACTAGATGTCGTCTGGACTCCTTGGCCATAGATAGTCTCGTGGTTTTCAAGTGCCCACTTCACTACGCGTTCATGCAGTATGAGATTAGTTTCACCTCACCAGCTCTTGTCACACGCATAGGAATATATTGGCACGCTAAGCGTACATGCGTGTGTATCTGTGCAAGGAGATTAATTAGCCATTCCGAAGTTGATGAGAGGACTGGGGACGAGTGTTAAAAAGTGCCCAAATTAAGAAATCACTAAACCACTAAAAAGACATCTGGGTTAAATACCAAATATATTCATACGAAATTTTTTGAATGCAATTCCCATCGGCCTAGGAAGAGTTGATTAAAATTTAGTTGAATTTGGTAAAAAATTGAACGAGAAATGAATAAAAGTTTGTTTTGCTTTTCCCGGTCAATTAAATAAAATTTACTGAATGCGTAATTAGGACGTGTATAATTTATGCACCAGTATACAGGGTATATAAAGGTATAATACAAATAATGTAATTTATAGCATCTTTTTAGATTGTATACAATTGTAAATCTCACTTATATAAGGGAGGCTGCTCTAAAATCGTGTGTTTTACAAATATATTCTAATTTGTTAATAATAATAATAAGTCAATAGTTTATATATACACGTTGGCAATATTTTAGTTACGTTTTACACGCCGAATTTCGGTCGTCTCGACTAAGGCAATAGTCAATAGATAATAAAGAGATGATAAAACCTTCATTTTCTATTGTCTTAGTTGCATTTCACGCGACCGAAATTCAATGTACAAAACAAGGCCAAGGGATACGGAGATAAGCATCAATTGCGTTCAGCAAAGTGCTAGGCCATTCAAATTCTAATAACACTACAAGGTGTATCCGCAAAGATATCAATTTAGATATCGATTTAGAAATCAAGCATATTGTTAAAATTTGAATGCCTTTTCAATTGCACATATGCTATAAACCGTGGTGCGTGAAATTTTGATTTATTGGGTTGTAATCACAAATAGTGTGAAAAAACAGTAAAAGGCCCTAAGAAATTATGACACCTAACATTAATCGAGTAATTTCAAAGAAATTCACTCAAATTTGATATTTTTGCGAGTGCGTGCTTACTTTGATATCATACATACTCTGATATACAAAGACCTTGAAATAAAAATCCACACTCATGTTTAGTTGCACTGCTGTAGTATAAAGTTCCTATCTCTTGCTCGTTCTGGCCCCAAATGACGAATTGTTTGTAAGGAAGTTGCAGTTGCATTGAAAGATTCGTGAGTGTGCTGATTTATGTCAACTACGATAGATGTTACTTAAATCATTTTAACGGCTGATAACGAGGCCAGCAGTTAAAAGGTTCTAAATCGTGCGGGATGTTTAATGTCGATTCACTGACTTTTGCTACTTAAGCGTTGTTTGTAAAAATGATCAGTACTTTTAAGAAGCACTGAATTAAGTTTAGTAATGTATGCTTTGACTCCCATACAAAATTGCAAGTAATTTTGTTTTCCGCTGTTGCCAAACTCACTAATGTAGATGATGGCACAATTGAAATCATCAATTATTATTTTGTAGTATATATTTGATATCAAAGTTAAATACAATACACACCAAAGCAATAACAATTTGAGATATTATTAGACAATACCTGTCCCAACTTTTCCAACAATTGACAATTCTGTGGGATATTTCTGATTTCTACATAGTTTATTATATTGTGTATGCCAACGTGTTACCAAATCGTAGTCCCCTCCCACTGTCCTGCACAACGTCAGTCCCAATAAATGCAGGGACCGCAGAAAAGGGGGAGGGGGGCATGCCCACTGTTTGCTGCATCAAGATAAAATCACGCACTGAAATTCAAATATAAAGTATTTTCTATAAGGACATGCAAGTGGAAAAAATATTCGGAGTGATCTGAAGTCGCAACTTGGTATCAAACGAGAGCTGTAGCTATTGGCTCCCTGTAGTCATACAGTGTCTCTGGGAGGGCATAAAAGCACTAAAGCATAATAGTAAAAGTTATTCGAACACTTCCAGATTTTTATATCTAATGATATATGAAGATTTGGGAGGGTTCGAATACTTTCACCGTGCTTTAGTTCGACCATAGTTGAATAATTCACGTGCATTGGGACCTAGTCAACTTAATTCGTAAATGTCCTTTTTATTAATAGTGTTTTAATTCTGTTGTACCATGTATGTAGAAATGGTCCATGTATGTAGAAATCGTGGGTGATTCTTATATTCCTCGCTGCATGTTTTCCTCTTCTTGGTTTTCCGCACAAAGTTGAATGCTCTGCAGTAAGTAGTTAATTGGCGTTTTCAACAATAGCGACCCAATGTTGTGGTATACCTGCAGAGTGTCCAATTTTCCTTCTGTCTTTTAGATTTGGAGGCGCAGTAAGGACCATCGCGTATAAGCGTATTGCATTGTCCTTTCTTGCTATATACAGAAGCTCTGATTAAGCTATCTTTATTTAGACTGGATAGCAGCTCTATCAGTTCTAGACTCTTCTCTTTAAAAGTCCCTAAGCACCATTCCTTATTTGTTTCATGGATATCACTACAGAAGAAACCCTAAACTTAACAAACTTTATTCATTCTGGATGGCTCGTAAATAGAAATTATATATTTTGATTTATTGGGTTGTAATCACAAATACTGTGAAAAAAACAGTAAAAAGCACTAAGAAATTATGGCACCTAACATTAATCGAGTAATTTCAACGAAATTCACTCAAATTTGATATGTTTGCGAGTGCGTGCTCATACTTTGATATCATACATACTCTGATATACAGAGACCTTGAATTACTAAAAATCCACTCTCATGTTTAGTTGCACTGCTGTAGTATAAAGTTCCTATCTCTTGCTCGTTCTGGCCCGAAAC